ATGTCATCTAGCTTAATACTTTTATTTACCCAGTACATAGAAATTTCCTTCTCAGTTCCAACTTTACATTCAGTACAGTAAGTAATAGTAATAATAATGTCCATGTTTGTTTAAAGCCACACAATCAGAATTCTGTTTGGGAAGATTTTGTGTACTTATTAGCAGTTCCTTAAGTCATGTATACCACACACTGCACATAGTAAGTGTTCAAATGGTTTGCTAAATGAATGGATAAATGCATGAATGACAATGTTCATATGTGTATGTTCGTTCAGTGGTTAACTAGTAGGAAGCATTTACAAAAATGCCCTCATTTGCTTGTCTGTACAATTTTCCTTCTCTAGTTTAATCCGTAAGAGAACAAAAACCGCAGGTGGCCCAGGAAATGGATGCTTAACATTTATTTTTTAGCAAAAGCTCTTAGTATGTAATGAACCGTTCCAAAGGGAAAGAGAATTAAGTAGAAGCAACTTTAAAAATACCCCATTATGTGGCCTAGAATCATAGTTTTAGAGCTGGGAGGTACCTTAAAGATGATTTAAACCAAAATCAGCCTTTTGAGTAGTAGAGGCTCCATACTGTGTATTCAGAAGATGGAACAGATTAAAAGCAAAGGAAGGGCTGAAGGTGTCACACGCCACTAAGTCACCAACTGCAAGTAAAACTCCCAGCCCCCCCAACCAGCGTTTTATCTTCTTTCGTGTTAATTTAATGATTATGTTCATCTATTATTTACTACTGAAGTAGACTATTTAGTACTACCTAAAACAAAAAGAATTAAGACTTTAACAACACATTCTAAATAAAGATTTTAAGCAATGGACACTTCTGGTTTGCTTGAGGCAAGACTAAAAAAAGTTCCTTCTTTCTAGAACAGATTCACGTTTATTTCACTACCAGGCCCACCACTATCTATAAACACCAACTTCTTCACCTCCATTAATTAAAGCTCCACAAAACATGGGTTTAACACTGATAATAGTCCCTAGAGCATAACTTTTCAGCCAATAACTGATGGCTACTATCAATTCTTAAGATGATGACTGGAGTCAGTTGAAGTAGGCGGTCTCAAAGGACTTACTGACTTCCGCTTATATTTAAAACTATGCCATGTTAGCAGAACAGTATGTTAAATTTATATTAAGTTCTTTTTTCTGACTTAAAATTCATCACTAGACTTCTTTCCAACAATATATTTTAGGACCCTTGTAAAGGTTTTCTTTCTATGGATTCATACTGACATCATCAATATCACTGAGAGCAATTATACTTTTCAAAAGCAGTGGGAACAAATACTTCTCTAATGTACCCTCTTCTCCAACATCTGAGATTAAAATTGTCATCTTTAAATAAAATTAAATGTTCACAAGCTATAGAAAAAGAAAAAAATGAAACATTCATGGAAAACCTTTCCTAAAAGGACCTATAAACATGGCACTGAAGAGGTGTGTGTTCATGAGTTCGAGCAGAATGGGGTTTTCATTAGAGAAGCTGGGCCTCAGAGCTGAGGAGGAGGGAGACCGCTCCCTTTTAATATCTGTGAGCTCAAGTGAAAGTTCAGAAAAAGCCAAACACCGTGCTCTGGAAAATGACGCTAATTTGTATTAGTGCTTTACAACTTTCAAAAAAAGCTTTCTCATAGTATTATTTTAAAATAGATTAAATAAGCTCTAAAAAATAATATGTAAAACTTTAAATTCTTAAAAATTTAGGAAACTTTTTCCAAAGAAGATAATATAATTTTCAACATTTTTTTATTATTATTATTGAAGAAATGGCTTGTATTGCTGGTATGAAGGAAACTATATAGTGGTACATATTATGAACTAACAAAAAAGGAATATCTTCCCAAAGAATTTTTTTCAGATGTACAGTTTATAATAGGTTGAAATTAAACTTTAGTAAGATTGCATATTTATTTTTCTAATACTGAATTTGTGCTTATCTAAACTGGATCACAATCTTTAAGATTAAATCAAATGCTCTTAAATAGACTCATAAAATACCAATATTGATGAATGTGAATTAAACAGTTCATTTCATGATCCACACTACTGTGCATCAAAGAAATAGAGGTAGGCTTCTGTTGAAATCCATACTAATAACAAGCAAGCTATAGCTCTCTAGTCATCCAATTCTTAAGATACAACCTAACAAATAAAATACTATCTTAAAATGCCTTTATAACAATCTACAAGTTTGGTTCAACTGTGGTATCTGAAAATGGATACTGTCCTCTATAATTCCAATAACTCAATTATAATAATTAACCTTTGAGTTTTTGACAGATACTCTCCAAGTACAATGGTTGTCACCTTTCTTTGAAGTCAAAAATCACTGACATATATCACTGGAACTATTTATTAATAGTCCTTTTAGGGGCAGGAAGTCCTCCTAGGGCAGGATCATTTGATAGAGAGTGAAAGAATGAGTGTGATTACAGGCGAATCTTACTGCTGTAACTGGGATCCAACCATTACACCATATTATTTTGAACTACTGAAGGTCATATCTATACTACACACCCTCACTCTGTTAACTGTACTATCCCCTTGGGTCTGGAATGCTTTTCCTCCTGTTTGTCTCTTCCTCCACTTCCCTGTCCTTCCCCCTGGAAAACCTTCCTTGAGGCCCAGAGCTACACAGATGGTGCACAGGAAACAGACTGAACATTGTGCGTCGATGGGCCAGTTCCCACTGCCCAAAGCTTTCACTGAAACATGACTGTTAGGTCTTAGAAAGTCCTGCCCCAACTGCCTGCCTAAAATTAACTCTACTACAAAATCTTCTCTAAGGATTTTCAGGCAAAGGTCTCTAAGAAGTTTTCCCACGGTTCTCGCGGGCCTAGAACAGGCTTGAGGGAAGGGAAGCAGCAGTAGGGGAGGGAAGCAGTAGGGGAGGAGGCCCTCTGAGGCTCTTGGCTCAGGCTTGGGGCCAGCCACACACACAGGCAGCATGCATTCCTGCCAGTCATTAAGGGTGAGGATCTTCAAACCACAAAATATAATCACATGGTTCTAGTTTAAAATGTCTTTACAACTTTTTAACAGTGTGTCGAATCAGGATTTCAGCTACTCAATACGGCTGTGAGGACAGCATCATTCACATCCATCTATAATAGTTTATTCTTTCCAAAATGGCTTACAAACGTGTAAACACAACCTAAGAGTATGCAACCTGTATACTGCCTTCCTACCATATTTATGCTGTGATGGTATCAGAACCCTCCGAATGCAAATAACAGGACTTCCTAACATTTAATTGAACAAGTCTCTGATATGGGACACTGTGACAGGTTTCAGTATAAGACTGGTATTTGAATAAATGTCTGACTCTCATTTCACACTTGATATTATGAAGATTAGCTAGGTCAAAAATTATTCAAAGGCATGGGCACAACAATACTTCACACAGTTCTAAATGTTAAACTAGGAAACAAAAACAAACAATGGGCTACCTAAAAAAATCATTTCTATTTAAAACTAGGTAAATCACTTCTTCAAAAGTGCAGAAATTTGTTCAGTGTTGAAGTGGGATAAGCAAATTGACAGGTCTCTTGTCTGCCTCTCTCCCATTCTCAAGCTTCTTCTCTAATATGTCTTCTCCCCGTTCCACATTCTCTACTCCTCTGTGACAGCCCTTAAGCTGAGACTAAGAAAAGCATCTGTTTAGCGATGCCACAGCATCCTGGAAATAGTTATATGCCACTTAAGAAGTGACAGGTTTGGGGACAGCGCTCTGCCTTATACAACAGTGATGATATCAAAGCTGCACAGCTTGTCATACACAAGGCATGATGAAAATCCGTATCATGTAAAAGTGTTTACAAACCAGCTCTCTGAGGGTGTTTACTTTCTTAGAACACATGGCTTAAAGCAAATAAAATTTGAAACGTGTAGGTTTTATTTCCCTCAATGGGAAAAGAGTGCATCAGTTTAAAGAAGTCAGAAGATGCAAACTCAGCGAAAGTAGAAAGAACTTCCCATGTCCCCTTTTTGTTTGTCATTCTTTCTCCTCCTAAAACAATTTTTAGCACAAAGGAAAAGGAAACACTCTCCCCACCTACATCATCCCAAAACTGTGCTCAGAACTTAGGAGAGAGGTGGATGCCCAGTGTTATCGTCCATGTCCATCATATATAACTGAAGCTCTGATTTTAAGATGGTTAATTCTCTAGAAAGAAACATGCATCAACAGGGAAAACTACCAGTTGAGCAAATGAGCCATTTCTAAATAAAATAGCTCATGTGAAAAACCAAGTATATTTTCTAGGTATGTTTTGAGTGAGGACAAGAGAAGATCTGGACTACTTTTGAGATTATTACAAGACTTAAGATTATAAGGTGCTCTCATCAAATGGAACCCCCTCCCATTCTTACAAGCTTTCTTGGACATTTAACACAGTGCTAGGCACGGGGGCTTTCAGTTAGTATATAATGACTGATATTAAAAAAGGGAGTAATTAAAAGGAGAACCTGTACATAGTTCAAAGTTAAGACCTTAAAGGCTATAGATAATATAGTTATGGGAGGTAATCATTATTGCTAGGGGAGTCTATCCCCAAATAATCAATTGCTTGTGGATTATCTATGAAAAAGTTTTAATTCCAGGGGAGATTTTCCTTTGTGCCCTCCACGCCCTCCCTACCCCTTCAGTGGACCATCTCCTACTAATGCTCAGCCTATACTTGTGTTCTGAAACTGCAAGATGAGGAGGGGGGAAAGTCAAGCATATGACAACTCTGTCATAACGATTAACTGCTAACAAATGAAAACTGAATACAGAGTACCTACCTTTCCTTGAAACCTTAATCCAATAATTAAAAATGTGATATAAAGAAATATGTAACGTAGACTACAAGCTATTGTAGGTCTGGAAAATGAGCCTTACACTATATTACACATTCTAATCCTACACATAACTGTCAGTAAACATCTTTTTTTAAAACATTACTACACAAAGGAATCCCACAAAGCATACAAACAAGAGGCATCTAAAGATTAAAAAAATTACCCGCTGTATTTTTGTATAAAAATAATCAACATTCTCTAATGTACACAAAGCCAAAAGATAAATATCTGTGATGTCTTTAATGACATCTTTAGTCCTCTACTAGCTCAACACAATCTTTTTGAAAAGAGCAGTGACAATGACTGAAACCCATGGACTCTCCCTTCCCCACTTACTGAACTCCTGCCAAATATCTGTGTATGTTCCTTCTATTTTACAACATTTCCATCGTGTGGCAAAGATAAAAAAAAAAAAATTAAAACAAATTTTTTATGTCCAGGACTATCAGGCTCTCACGGCTCCCACAACAATTTTGTTTTATTGTCATAATTCTGATAGGACACTATTCAGTGAAAAATTTTGCCTTAAAACTTTTTTCCCTAAAACATGTACTTACAAAATTAGGTCTGATAATCCAAGAAATATTACTTGGTGGGTACTTTGTAGGAAGCATGCAAGGGTTTAGTCAAGAAAAAGGAATGTGCATTCTAGCTAGACCCAGCATGTTCAAGGTTAGAAAAAAATCCAAAGACCAACCACATATCCACTACAAACTACTGTCATGCCAAGTAAGCTTGGACTCCTTGTAAGGCTATGCACTGGTTCATACGGTATAATCACATTATGCCTTCATCAGTGCAGAACAGATATGAAAGATAATTAATAGGAATCTGTACTTTCAGAGAGTCAAATTATTTGTATGCTAGTCTTTATTTTACAGGTCAATTTAGTGGACTTTTCCCTTTTTTCTAGGATGTGTAAAACTGGGAAAAATACTTCAGCAGAACATTAATACTATCTGAAATACATCCACTGTATCATGTATTCCTTATTGTGCTCCATCTTTTCAAATTATCCCTTTGGGTAAAAAAGAGCAACATTTATCACTCCTACACCAGGGTTTCCGAACTTTGACACTACTTGATATTCTGGACCTGATAAATCTTTGTTTTGGAGGACCATCCTGTGCACTGTGGGATATTTAGCAACATCCCTGTGCTCCATGGTCTCGATGCCAATAACAACCCTACCCAGCCCCTCCAAGCTATGACAACCAAAATGTCTCTAGACATTGTCAAATGTCACCTGGGCAGCAACACTGACCTCTGTTGAGAACCACTAATCTAAATGTACAAAAACTAAGAGGAAAACTTTCTCAGCCGCACCAAATTCTTAGTCAAGTTTGGAATAGAAACCAACTCTTCTGACTTCCAGATCAGTATTATTCATGCTAGAATGCAATCCTTTTTTTATAGACAAAGCAATTGTCTGACAGACATTTTTTTAAATGCACACTGATATCTCATTGCATACAATTCCAGTCACTGGACTCCTAAACTATTCCTAAATTACTCCTAAATTATCTCTCTCATGACAACCTATAGAAAACTTACAGGGTAGAAAAATGTATAAGAAAACCGAATCAAAAGAGGAGAAATGTAAATCATTAAATTACTTTTAAAAGGATTCTTTATATTAACGATAAACATCACCTTTAAAAAATTATCTAGTATAACACGTTTCTTTGAAAAATATCATGGCCCTCTATATCAGTCTTTCATTGTTGCATGTAACCTGTAAAATTAATTTTACCAATGTTGGCTACTTATGAAAATGTATGATGAATTATATCTGTAGAAGAAATGTCAGCTTTTGATGTGGAGATCCCAATGTGCTTGGCTATCCACCACAATATATGATAATATTCTAGGCCAACTTGAGCCTTTACCTTACAAGTCTGTTTAAGAAGAGTAAAAACTGCTGTTTTCTCACAGCCTCATGATCCCGTTAAGATTCCTTCAGAGAGTTGATGCGTGCACAGATCTTTAGGGCCGGGCCTAATTTGATATTCATTGCACTCATAAGATGGTCTTCTTTTAGCAAAAGAAGGGCCTGTCCATCAATCTCCTGTGCTCTGAACTCATCTGCGATATCTTGGCAGCCTGGAATTTGATCAGAGGACGGAAGTTAGCATTAATACAAAATAATTAGATGTTACTTCTAACAGTCACAGTTATGTTCTCAGTGGGTCTGAGTATCTGAAATACAGGCTGAGAAACAAATGAAATTTATTTATGGTAGTCTTGGGTTCACTCCTGAAGAAGAGAGTATTCCTTGGCATTCTGAAAATAAGAATTAATTCAAAATCCAGGTAAAGCAATTTACTTGGAATTCTTGTTCTAAAAATATTACAGAAATAATTAGAGTCAGGAAAAATGTAGATTCATCAGTTCAGATATAACATACCTTGACAAAAAAGACAATTACCTCAAAGCATGTCACACATATAACAAGTTTGGATTAACTAGTTATTATACCTCATGAACTTTTATTTGTATAATATACCCTTCACATACAGGTGTAGGGAAATAAAATACAATGTTCTGTCATTTAACAACTTAGAAATATTTTCTCAAGTACCAGAGTACCACTTTCATTATCATTTGTACCTTATTCTAATTTACACCCTTCAATTACCAAGCACATGTAAAACATTTTTTTTACTCAGGAAAGAACCAAACCAACAAGATTGTAGTATCAATCTATTGCAACGCTGCTGAAATGTATTACACTGCTTGACTTGTAATGTCAACTTCAAATCTTAGTATCACTGGATTTGTCTACCTTTGATAAAAAAACATAAATTCCCATTGAAATTATGAACTTGCCCCCTAATCTCTTGCCAAATAATATTTTATCTCTCAGTGTAAACCAGGTGCTTTAGCAGGTAACAATGCTAACATCTACTTAAACCTCAAACGTTTTTATTATCTACAAATTTTGCACAGCCAGGTTACTCAATAAACTTCCCCACTAAGGGTAAAGAAACAACCAGGGAAGGTACCAAGAAAGGAGCGAATGCAATAATGTGGAAGCTTCCTTATAAGAGACAGTGAAATTATAATAATGAATTTAAGAGTAAAAACTAACAGCTTCAAGTCTGTTTTATTCAAATCAGCATTCTAAGAGAAAACACAAAGATAACGAATAATAGAAATGGTTACATTACACCGCTGGAGAGCACAACTTTGCTGGAATGATTATCCTTTCTTCTGCAAATGTGTCATCCCCTTGTTTACATAAGATAATGATGTCATCCCTATAACCCCAGTACCAAGCACAAAGCATTGTTAGGTGCTAAATACATACATTTCTGTATAAGTGAAGGACTGGATGAGTGAATAAACAATAAACAAAAACAGGATCTGCTACAGAAGAGCTATTTGTAAGAGTAATACACTTTCTTCTGTATTGTATGGCCATCTTTTCTCTTGGTTATTTCTTTCCCCATCTTCTCTGTTGTTTCTTTCCTGTTTCATATATAGCAGCCAGCTTTTCAATTTCTCTATTTTAATTTCTCAGACTAAAAAACTGACATTTCAAAAGTACCCTAAGCAGAATGTGATGGTTTTGCCCATTTACCATATAAAAGAAATTATACAGTTAAAATGGGATTACTCACCATAGAAAAGCTCCCTTTCTTTTCCCAGAGGTAGCTCTCAAAACTGGGCAGACAAAACTGACTAATCTTGCATCTAGTTGTGACTTCATCCTTCTTTTTATGAAAGAACTAATGTTCTTCTCTCTTCAGTCTTACTTACAAGAACACAGGAAAGAAAAGAAGAGAGAGAAAGACAGGGCGGGACTTACTTAGATTCAGAAAACAGGAGCAATGAGAAGTAATGAGGACTGTAAGAGCTACATTTGGGAATAGAAACAAGGAGTTCTCCATGAGGAAATACATAGCATGTGTTGTTCCTCTGTACTGGGCGATCCCTCTTCAGATGTCTTCTTGTAGTAAATAAATGTACTAGCAAAATTATAAAGAACAAAATATGTTTTGGGAAACACCATGATCGTGTAGGAATGCATTGTCTTCAGAATTTTAGATCACAACTTCCATAAGCCAACCACAACAAAGAGCAGTTATACTATACATGAGTATAGAAATGAAAAAATAAAATTACTTAGAAAAAAAAAAGGCAGAAGCAAATATTTTTCCAAAACTCACTAAAGAAAAATGAATTTTCAAAAAATGTTTAGATGCTCAAGGTATACTGAGCTAAAAGTTCAATGAGTTTCTGACATTAGAATCTACTTCTGTAAAATGACTGGTGCCCCAGGGACTCGTACAAAACATATCCCAAGTGCAGCACCCAGTCAGCATTGCTGGCTTTATGTCACCAGAAGCAGCTATCAGGGTGGGCAGGGACCTCTGCAACTGGATGAGTCCCAACTGAACTTTTCAGTCCAGTCACTTTTCCCGCTGAACCCAAAACAAAACACTCTGCACAAAAATGATCTCAGTAAGGCCGGTGAAAATATATCACCTGCCACTTAATATTACATAATAAAAAAGTCCCAATATTAGTATTATGAAAACCAATAGTCATATGTTTTTAGGCTAATTCCTACTTTATATGCCTACAGAGAAACCAAATCTCCTACAGAGTCACAAATTAATATATACAGAATAAACTGACCTTTGCACTGATCAAGAGTTAAGTAAGATACTACAGTTAATTGAAAATAAGAATCATTCCCATAGAGAACTTTTTAATGCACAAAAATTAGAAGAAAATATATTTTTTAATTTAGAGAGTGCGCACACGAGTGGGGGGGGGGCATGGACAGAGAGGGTGAGAGAGAATCTTAAGCAGGCTCCAATCTCAAGACCCTGAGATCATAACTTGAGCCAAAACCAAGAGTCAGATACTCAACTGACTGAGCCACCAGGCACCACAGAAGAAAATAATTTTTCACTGTGGTAGCAGCTCTGAGACTGGATATTACAGCATACAGCTCTAATATGGTCCCACCAGTATGGTTTACAAGATGACATTATACAAAGAGAAAACTCCAGGAGTAAATATAGGTGCCCTGATGAAAGAAGGAAGCCTATCTCAACTGGAAAGAAAGAAAATACAAGAGATTACAAAATTTATAAGCTTGTTCATTCTATGAGAAAAGGTTGAAAGTAGACTACCTGGAAGAAAAACAATGCAGCCGCGAATGAGCCTGAAAGAGGCTCAAAAGATGTTTACAAAGGCCAGAGGAGCATAGAGAAATGAAGATAAAAGCATTTTCTGATATGAGATTTACTTTAGGCCACAGGGATTATTCAGAGAGAAACACTGAGAAAGAAGATATAACTGATCACACAAATAAGCCTGTTATTTAGCCTGTCAAAGCAGTTCAGAAGTACTCCCATTTAATCAGCTAAAGGAAAGCAGACTCTTACACAGCACCAAACAATTCTAAATTATAAAGCAGTTTCCCTTTAATGATAAGTAATGTTCTCTAAACAACTGGCAACAAAATTGTCTTGATGAACTAAGACAAGCATCTCAAATATAAGCAATCTTTTTTTTTTTAAACTGAAATGAAGCAAGAATGAGACAAAGGAGTTTAGCCTTTGTTCTAATATAACAGCCAAGAGTAACCACACAGCACATGGGTATTGGGGAAAGTTTGAAAATTAGCCCTAACAAAAGCATATGAAATGACAGAAGAATCAGATACCTATGATTTGTTAATTATTTGACCAATTACTTTCCTCAGGATATGAACCAACGCTCCTCCCCAAAGGAAAGGAAAGTTTCCCCAAATGAGAAATCAGGCTAACAGCTTACACGCCCCATGTGGAAGACGGAGACTACTTCTGAAGATGACAGAATCAAAGTCCAACCCCAAGGAATCAGTAGAGTCCGGTGTTAATTCTCAAGATATCTAGACTTGTCTAAAAACTAAAATTTATGTCATTAAGTATTAAAACCACAACCAGTGAAGACTCACAATCTTCTAACATATCAGTTTTAAAGCAGATTCAAAACCTATATGGTTAGCACTTAACTCATACCTAAGTTTCCTTAGGTGCATGTTTAAAAATCTTCCATGAAAAATGTATCCTCTCTTTATTTGAACAACTGCAATCTTCCTTTAAAAGTGACCATATCTTGTTTAAAAAAAAAAAAACTTATTTAGCATTTCTAAAACAAGCTACTGAAAAAATAATAAAATGTCATAGAATTCTGTTTATATAAGGTAAAATGGCAGTTTTTTTTTTTTTTAAAGCAGTAATAGTTCTGAATATACTTTCTTCATTCAGCACATTAACTGTAAGTTTGCTTCTGAGGTAGTGGTTACCTTCACAGAAAGATTAATCAGCAAAAAGAGCTGGATTAATTTTAATAAGTCTGTAGAGTTCAAAGGGGATATATTTTTCTGGAAAGCGTATATCAAGAGAAATAGTGTGATTCACAATAAAATCAAAACGGAGCAAACATTTAAAAAATCTCGTTTTCCACATTCGTAAGGTTAAAATGGGTAAGATTTGCTGATTTAAAAAAAAAAAAAGTCTTAACATATATAATCAATGTGGGTCTCATCATGAGCAACGGTGCAGTTATCTTTAGTAACCAGCCCCTTGGAGAAAGTAGATATAAAAGACTGCTGCATTAAAGAAAAAAGATAAAGAACATAAAGAATTAAGCTGATGGGAAGAGTACCAAAACGAGAGAGCAGAAAAACATAAGAAAGTTACCCTCAATATTGGAATGGAATATCATAACTGAATTTTAGTTGTCTACTTAAAAAATCAAATTTTAGAAGTGTTCTTGATGGCTACTTATTGAAAAGAATCAAGGAATGCAGCTTCCTTTAAAAGAACCAGCTTGATTTTTTAAAAAGAAACCAAAATGTTACCATATTCTAAAAGGTCTTGATTAGCTTTCAAAAATGCAAAAATTTATATATATATAGTCTCTCTTATTTTATTTAAAAAAGGTTAAATTAGGAAATAAAGAGGAAATAGAATAGAAAAATAGAAGAGCAGAAGGGAAGAAGTGTCTGACTCAATCTCTCTACTGACCTCTCGAGAGAAATCAGACTGAAGAGAAGAGAGCACCTTTAATATCTTCACCGGCTGAGGTGTCACAGCAGAAGCAGGACTAGTCAGTTTTTATCGACTTGGGGGGGTATGAGAAAATACCCAGTTGTGCTGAGGGAATAAGCAAGAGGAAACAGATCACATTTCAATAGCAAATGCCATTTAATTAATACATATACACAGTACTTCTCTAGCCCTTTTGTGCAATAGGTGTGGATGGATCTAATATCATTCCTGTGTGTGAATGCACAAGAAAAATATAAGGCCAAAGTGGTGAATTACATACCAGGCAAAGAATGGATGAAGGCCCAGACATCATCAACTGTCCAGATAGATGGCTCTGTTTGTGCAACTGGTAGCAAGTCACTGTTCTCAGGCATTTTCCTAATTCTCACATCCCGAAGCTCACGTTCTCTTTCCCGCTCACTCTGCCTGCGCAGGCGTGTTGTCATAGCAGATGGAACAGAATCTTCATGAGAAGCCAAGTCTTCTTCTGCAGATGGATAAGTAATTGGAAGCTGGAAAATGTAGTACAAGTAAAATACAGCATTGCACTTTCCTTGCATTTCGGAAAAGGGTATAGTACATTGAAGCAAGGTTTCTACAGACCTGCCTAAGGATATGTTCTCTTGCTGCCCCATCAGGGCCACTTGGACGACGGCCACGATGCCCAAGACTTTGATTATCAGGCTTACGATTCCAACGACTAAGTGCAAATTTTTTAGAACAGCTAACATTGTACCTAAGAAATTCAAGTAAGAAAAAATATTAAGCGATATGTGGAACACTCCATTTAGTATTTAATTATGACTTAAAAGAGCACTTGTGAATCAGTAAGTGCCAAATACTTCATTAAGGACTGTAACACCTCAGAAAGTAAACCATAGTGTTCAGTGGATTTACTTATGCTGACAGTCAAAAAATGGCCTCTGTTTATTTCATAATATTGCACAATATAGTAATATACATTACTGGACACCTATAACAAGGTATTGATATTTTCTCCTAATAACAGTATGATAGTGGGAAACTTCATGCAAAATACAGAGAATAACCAATTTTTTGCAAAATAAATCAAGGTTCAGGAGAAAACGAAGTTATGAATTATATGTTCACACTGTTTTCCTAAGTAATCATTTCTGAAGAGAGATTAATATAAAGAAGTTAAGGGAGTAGAGAAGGGGAAATCTCAAATGGCTAGTAAAAGATTTTTTCAAGTATTACTGAAATCAAAGAGTGAAAATGTAAACTTGAGATTTCAGAGTTACACAAGGAATTCATAGTTCTCACTATTCAGGAAATTCAAATACACATAATTCTTTAAAATTAGCTGAAAGATTATTTTCATTTTATCAAAATAGACTAGTATTTTTTTAATATAGACCTGTATAAGGCATGATGACAGTTTAAAAGAGTCCTATGCTGTTTACTGAATTTCAAGGCCTAGAACAGGGCTGGCAGACTTTTTCTACAAAGGGCCAGATAGTAAATATTTTAAGCTTTGTAGACAATACAAGTGTCTGTCACAACTACTCAACTCTGCAACTGTAACATGAAAGCAGCCATAAACAATGAATGAGCATGACCAGGTTCCAATAAAACTTTACTTAGACCAAAATTTGAATTTCACATAATTTTCATGTTATGAAATATTACTCTTTTCATTTTTTCCTAACCATCTAAAAATTCAAGAACCATCCTTAGCTCAGGCATCATCCAAAAATAGGCTAAATGAAGGACTTGGCCTGGGTACAGTTTGCCAACCCCTTCCCTAGAAAGAAGAGTGAAAAGAAATAATTTAACAAATTTCTGAAAAGCTAAAGAAAGGCAGAGAAAAATACATATAGTTCCTTTCTTAAACACATAAAATTGCCACTGTAATTTCTTATTTTCAAAACTCTTTTGCTCTAAGAAGATTTCTCAGGAAAAAGACAAGAATAAATCCCAATGAACTTTGCTATTAACTATTCTAGACCAATATACAGATACCAAAACAAATTTTCCTCATCTATGTTTTATGAAAATAGCAGGAAATGGAAGTAAGGAGTACTATGAAAATGAATAGGCTATTTTTTCCCCTAAAAATAGATTTTTTTAAAAAATGCCCAGACGGCCACTTCATTTTACCCTAAACAACTCAACAAGCTCCTGCTGTGTTCAATATGCTGATCTGTGCGCTCAGCTCTATACGTTTCTGATTTCCATTCACAGCAACCTATAAAACTTCCTTCCCCACTGACTAGAGAACAGAGACTAACCTTACACTTGCTATTTCGTCCCTAAATATTTAGATCTCCAAGGCAGACATATAGATGGCAGTTCTTCCCCGACCTAACTTATCCTTTCCTCCTTGCTCTCTCATCTGCATTTCCCTTGTATTAGGATCCCTCATCCCCTGAAAGAGGTTCACCTAAAGGTGTAATAACTTGACAACTCAGCAATCATCCCTGGAAGGAGTGATGGTAGTGTTAAATGTTCTGACATATTTAATAGTCAAGACATTTAAAATATTCTAAAAGGCCATCCTTTTCCCTCAGAGTTGTTAATCACTTAGAATCAGAGAGTTACTCATCTTTTTTGTGGTGTATGCAAACTGGAAAAACTCCCAAGTTAAAACAGGAGTTAAATAATTTGGTTAGGGCTATCAATAACACAAGATAATATGTGAATAGAAGACTAACAACTGAGAAACCAAATGAAGCCATTTTTGGAGGAAAATACTCCTATTACTTATTTAACTTAAGATTTACTGAGTATAGGGCGCCTTGGTGGCTCAGTTGGTTAAGCAACTGCCTTCGGCTCAGGTCATGATCCCGGAGTCCCAGGATCGAGTCCCACATCAGGCTCCCTGCTCAATGGGGAGTCTGCTTCTTCCTCTGACCCTACTCCTTCTTGTGCACTCTCTCTCTCTCTCATTCTCTCTCTCTCAAATAAATAAATAAAATCTTAAAAAAAAAAAAAGATTTACTAAGTATATTGTAGTGGCACCATACAAAATAATATATTCATGCAAGAAAAATCCCTAGATACAAACAATTAAGATCTTATATTCTTTGAGAGAATAATCACTTTTTGGAACAGAGAACAAACTTCAAAATAACCTGTGCATACACTTCACCTCTAGTGGTAAATACCTATATTAGGATTTATTATCAGAATCAGAGGTTTTTTTTTATGTTATACTAAACCTGTGATGAGAACAATGAAGATACTGAACATTCCTTTAGTTATGAACACAGTTTACCTATAATATTACTATTGATAATAGTTTAGAAAAGACCTATTTTCCTCTCTGATGATTTAACAATGTGGGGAACTTGTGCTGCAGCTGTCCCACTTAAAAACCTAGGATAAACAGGATATAATGAAAACAAGTTACAACAAAACAAAGTAAATCCTGGTATTTTCATACTGATCAAACAATAAGTTGATAAAATAAATACTGTTTTGATACTTTAAGGACTAGTAGGTCTATTCACAGGAGACATTCTCCTAAGCATATTCTTGCCAGGAGATTGCTACTTCAATGTTAGAACATGTGGTAAAACTCACTGTAAACGTTATGAATATGTAACTCTCACAGAGCAAAATTTAGTAACTAAATATCAAAGTAGCTCCAGAAAATGCCTATTTGATATTCTTCCTGTATATTATAGCATCTAGTTTTGGCTACTAGTAAACTCTACAAGTTTTTGGGTTTCTTAAAATGGTTGTTGATTTCCACTTCAGGAAAGTCAAGAGAATAGAAATACCTTTTGGCACAGGACATAGTGCAGAATCGTTTTGACCGAAGAAATTCATTAGCATATCCCATCTTCCCACAGAATTCACACTTGAGCAATTCACTGTCCATTTCTTCTAATGTCTCTAAAAAAGAAACAAAGGAAAAAACTTCCAAAAATTTAACTGTGGCAGATTTTCTTCTAGCATCTACTTCAGCTGGATACAGCTAGTTCAGTCCCTCCAGGAAACTTAAAGGAATGGTCTTTTAACTTTTCAATCCAAAGCCACTATGGCAGGGAAAATACTCCAAAAACAACTGCAACCACCAATGCCCTCTTACTCCTCCATAAACATTTTATGGAGTTTTCTCTGTATAAATAAGCATTTTTAAAGGTTCATTTTGCTAAGAATTCAACATACATAAATGGGCAAATAACTTTACTGAGCAGTGTAAAAGAAATGAAGATGAGTAAGACAAAGTCACAACCTTCAGGAGGAGCACTCTCAAAAGCACTGTGTAGAATACGAATTTAGGTGCATGGTGATACGAAGACACACAGCAGAGAACACTTAATGTAACTGGAGAGAATGAGGGTGACTTCAAAAAGAAGCTAAACTTTTGATATGCTTGATTTTAGAGAAGCATGTAAGAGAACATTTTCAAAGGTCTGCAGTGTACAATAGAAAATATAGATACATATATCTAATTGTAAAGCAGTCCCTTTGAGGTATATCATATTAAAACAAAAATAATTTAGATTAATCTTAAACATCACAAGTAATTTTGTAATTTCTAACTTCTGCTCCTTTTTGTCAGAGTGTTCCCTATTTAGTTAGAATGTCCTTCCCTCCACCTCTATATCCATAATTTTCCTCAAGCCATATTATTAGACCCAAGGAAAGTTTCTACCTAAATCCTCAAGTATCCAGCAGCAATCACCTATAAGCAAGAAATTTTATTTTCATGACCCACAGTATCTTCATCTGTAAAATGAAGTTTATAATACCTTTCCCAAAGAACTGCAATGAAGACTTCATGAGTACCCAGTAGATAGTAGGCATAAAAAAGTGACAGTTCCATTTCCTATTTTCCACATAAGAATTAAGAGTACCAAGACCTGTTAATAAGTACTTAAGGAATAAAAATGGTTAAATTTTTTTTTTAAAAGATTTTATTTATTCACGAGAGAGAGTGAGAGAGAGGCAGAGGGAGAAGCAGACTCCCCGTGGAGCAGGGAGCCTGATATGGGACTCGATCCCAGGACCCTGCAATCATGACCCGAGCTGAAGGCAGAAGTTTAACCAACTGAGCCACCCAGGTGCCCTAAATTTTTTTTTTTAACTGTTAAATTCTTTCTTTTTTTTTTAAAGATTTTATTTATTTATTTGAGAGAGAGAGAATGAGAGAGAGAGAGCACGAGAGGGAAGAGGGTCAGAGGGAGAAGCAGACTCCCCACTGAGCAGGGAGCCCGATGTGGGACTCGATCCTGGGACTCCAGGATCATGACCTGAGCCGAAGGCAGTCGCTTAACCAACTGAGCCACCCAGGCGCCCTTAACTGTTAAATTCTTAAATCCATCATATTCTGCCATGTTCTTGCATCACGATAATTCCTATGCCAAGTCATGCAGAATACATAAAAAAGCATACTTTACTAACTAAAGCTTTTAGCTATGAATCCGTGTGCTTTTCTATGTTACTCATTTAACCAAAGGCTTATTAAGATGAAGGGGACTCTGAAATGTAGACATGAATGACATGTACTCAGAAAATTTAGGCAGTCACATTATCCTAGTGTTACTGAAGAAGCAAATGCCAAAGTGCTAAATCAAGATAAGGCAGCAAGAACTACTAAAAAACATACTGTGAAATATCTGCAGTCCCAAGGGACAGCCAAATATTATCAACATGACTGATCAAATCATGAACTATCAAGAGTTAATTGTAAAAAAATTTTCAGGACTACCTTCATAAGCAAGTCATCTGGTGAGCAGCAATGAGAAAGAGTCTCAAAACAAGTAAAATTAAAATTGCTCCTTCCAGTAACCTAGAAATGGCTTTTACACAACTGTGGCTCAACAACACATCCCTGGGAACTGATGTCATAAGTTCCAGTATTGTTTTCACTTTGTCATGCTTGTGACCTGTTCTGACACGTGACAGAGCCTCTCACTACCACCACTGCCACCAATCTGGCCCCAAAGAATCTAGTCATCAAGTTGTTCCATTTCCAGACTATACTGAAAGCTTTAAAAAGCTTGTATTCACTAATGTAGCAATACGTAACCCTTGATAATAGTTTAGAATCCCTTACAAAGGAGGACATGTTTTTGCTTGTGAGAGAGGGGAGATCCAAACAGGTATGGTCTAAGGACAGACAACCTAACAAAAAATGAACATCAGTTTTATTTCTCATAACGAAGAGAGGAATATTAACATTCAAAAATCCCTGTTCTCATGTTCGTCATAATTTTAACAAATCTGGTATTACCAAGGCTACTTTTTCACACTTGTGAATAAAAACAGAGCCAAATGAGTTCAAAAACTGTTCCTTTAGCTAATAAAGATGGAAGTCTATGGCATAGACAGCTGGCAATTCTCCCCAACACTCATTCTTCACTTTTCTCCCACAGTAACAAAATCCTAATTTTCAGCAAGGTATATGGGCTCTGAAAATAAAAACTCAGTTTCTGCCCTAGGTGTGGCCATCCATGACATGTGAATGGAAATACCTGCAAATTCCAGGTGGTGCCCTTTTCCCCCATCTCACTGATTAGAATGTGAAAATGAAAATCAGCTATCTTGGAAACGAAAGGAACATTCTAGGGATGAGAAAACCACAACACTGGCAGCATAGGTGCCCAACACTTGCTTGCCTTTGGGCAAAAACTGAACTTCTACCTTATTTAATCAAATATTATTCTGGGTTTCTAATGGAGTGGCCCAACATATATTCTAAGAGATGTCCCCATTTTTTGTGTGTGAGGAGTACTTTTTAATTTTCCTGAAGACTTGAGATCACTTAATGATAAGAAGCAAAAGAGAGAGGCAGTGAGATAGAAATCATGATCAATATGATGATTTACCAGGGAAGACAGAAGATATTTTGGTAAATCAGTCTACTGGTTGGAGATTCTAGTTATAGAACCAGTCCAAATAGAAAGAGAAATTATCCTTTAAAAAGAAAATAATTCTTACACTAACTTTTTAAGTACTGAATTAAACTGTATATACTACTAAAGCCAGTAAATAAATGACTTCACCATTTCACTCTATAGTACTTCCCATAAACACTGAAGTACACAGTAATAGAAACACTTTATATAATTACCTTGGGAAATTAAATTATGAAGTATTTAAAAATTTGGCATATTCTATGTAAATAAAGCTCCACTATGAAACAGATTAATCTTTTTTGACTATATTTACCTTATAACACTGTGCAAATTTAAGTGTACAATGTTTTAATTTGATACATTTATATATTGATTGTTGCTGTAGCAATATTTAGCACCTCCATCAACCTCTATCACTTTACATAATTATCCTTTCTTTTTAGTGATTGGAATACTTAAGTTTTAGTCTCTAAGCAATACTGTTGTCTATATTCATTATACTATGTATTAGATCTCTATGGCTTATTTACTACTCAATGCATAGATTAATCATCTTTAAATCTTCCTTTTCATTACTCTGGTAACTTATCATGTTAAACTACCCTTTGCCTTGTCTTCCATAAATCCTTTCCTTCCTCTTCCCCCACTATAACTACAAGTATCAATTACATACCAAACCTACAGATTCATCCTACAGATGATCTGCAGTTTCCAAAAACACTCTTTTCATGTAATCTGCCTAAAAATCTTCAGTAACCATCCTCTTGACAACAAGATAACTCCTAACGACTTGGATCAAATATCCAAAATACGCTAGAATCTGATTCTGTCAGTCTTACTTCTATTTCTCTAAGCCTATACAGTCTATTCCTTACTGTCCCCTCCTGAAGTTATGTGAACATCCTTTGTACATTTATTCATGGTTCCAATCTGAAAGGTTCTTCCTGTTTGTTATCTATGTTTTATCATCCAAGACCCAGATCAAATCCCATCTCTACAGAAAACTTACCAAACTGGCAATAATCTCAGCCAGGTTTGTTGTTGTTTTCCATCATGATAAGCATATTCTTTAATCCCCATCACCTATTTCACCCACCTCCCCTCTGGTAACCAGTTTGTTCTCTATAGTTGAGTCAGCTTCTTGGTCTGTCTTTCTCCTTTGCTCGTTTGTTTCTTAAATTCCACATGAATGAGATCATATGGTATCTCTCTTTCTCTGACTTATTTTACTTAGCATTATATTCCCTAGCTCTATCCATGTTGCTGTAATGGCAAGATTTCATTCTTTTTTATGGCTGAGTAATATTCCACTATATGTATATACCACATCTTCTTTATCCATTCATCTATCGATGGACACTTGGGCTGCTTTCATAGTTTGGCTAATGTAAATAACGATGCAATAAATACAGGGGTGCATGTATCCCTCTGAATTAGTGTTTTTGTTTTTTGGGGGGTAAATATCTAATAGTGCTATTACTGGATTATAGAGTAGTTCTATTTTTAATTTTTTTTTTAAGTTTTTATTTATTCATTTGAGACAGAGAGAGAGAGAGAGCATGAGCAGGGGGAGGTGCAGAGGAAGAGGGAGACACAGGCTCTCCACTGAGCAGGGAGCCAGATGTGGGACTCGATCCCAGGACCCTGGGATCACGACCTGAGCCGAAGGCAGAGGCCTAACCATCTGAGCCACCCAGGCGCCCCTACTTTTAATTTTTTGAGGAACCTCCATACGGTTTTCCATGGTGGCTGTACCAGTCTGCATTCTTTTCAAGTGTTCTACAGAAACAACCATAAAACAGTAACAAAACGGCAATAAGTACGTATCTATTAATAATTACTTTGAATGTAACTGGACTAAACACTGCAATCAAAAGACATAGGGTGATAGAGTAGATAAAAAAAACAAGATCCATTTATGTGCTGCCTACAACAGACTCATTTCAGACAGAAAGACACCTGCAGATTGAAAGTGAGGGGATGGAGAAACATTTATCACGCAAATGGATGTCAGAAGAAAGCTGGACAGCAATCAGACAAAACAGACTTTAAAACAGAGACTGTAAGAAGAGAAAAGACACTATATAATAAAGGGGACAATTCAACAAGAAAATATAACAACTGTAATTATTTATGCACCCAACATGGAGCACCCAAATACATAAAATAGTTAATAACAAACATAAAGGATATAATCGACAGTAATATAATAATAGTAAGGGATTTAACACCCCACTTCCACTATGGACATATCATCCAAACAGAAAATCAACAAGGAAGCAATGGTTTTGAATGACACACCGGACCAGATGGATTTAACAGACATATTCAGAACATTCCATCAACCAGGTTTTTTTAATTGAAATATAATTGACATGTAATACTAAATTAGTTTCAGGTGCACAATGTAGTCACTCAGCAATTATATTCATTATGAAATACTTGCTACAAGTATATTACAATATTAGTCACTATATTCCCTATCCTGTACACTTTTCAACCCTGTGACTTATTTATTTTATAACTGGAAGTTTGTACCTTTTAATCTCCTTCACCAATTTCACCCATCCTCTCACCCTCTCCTTCGGCAACCACCAGTTTGTTCTCCATATTTATAAGTCTGTTTCTTTCTACTGTTATTTGTTTGCTTGTCTTATTTTTTAGATTCCACATAGGAGTGAAATCATAGGGTATTTGTCTTTCTCAGTCTGGCTTATCTCATTTAGCATAATACCCTTTAGGTCCATCCATGTTGTCATAGATGGCAAGGTTTCATTCTTTTTTATGGCTGAGAAATACTCCATTTTGTGTGTGTGTGTGTGTGTGTGTGTGTGTGTGTATATAATAATACCACATCTTCTTTATTCATTCATCTATTGATGATGGACACTTAGGTTGCTTCCATATCTTGGCTACTGTAAATAATGCTGCAGTAAACATAGGGGTACATATATATATCTTTTTAAATCAGTGTTTTCATTTTCTTTGGATAAATACCCAGAACTGGAATTACTGGATCATATGGTACATCTTTTTTTAGTTTTCTGAGGAACCACCGCACTATTCTCCAGACTGGCTGCACCAATTTACATTCCCACCAACTGTGCATGAGGGTTCCCTTTCCTCCACATCGTCTCCCAACACTTGCTATTTCTTGCCTTTTTGCTACTAGCCATTCTGACCAGTGTGAGGTGATACCTCATTGTGGTTTTAAAACCACAGTGTGGTTTATCTCAACTGGTTTTAAAATCAGTTTTAAAGTCCCAAGTTCTTACCGTCTATACAATTCATTTAAAACTTACCACATGTTACTCCTTAGTTACCTTAAATTCACTAGTTCCTACTAGAACAAAAGCTCCTCTCAGGTTCTACTACAGTCTAACATATGCTGTATGTCTATTATATTATAAACCATGAGTTCATGACATATGCTGTGAAACTTCCTAAGCGGTTTTCCATTTTTCTCCAATGTGTACACACAATAGGGCACATTATATGTGCTTTTTAGCCTAGAACTTTCATTTATACACTTCTTGTGGTTATAGGCAAGAAAAAAAAAAATCCCTGCAGGGCACGTGGGTGGCTCAGTCGGTTAAATGTCCGACTCTTGGTTTTGGCTCAGGTCATGCTCTTGGGGTTGTGAGACTGAGCTGCGCATCGGGCCCCACGCCAGGCCTGGAGCCTGCTTGAGATTCTCTCTCTCCCTCTCCCTCTCCCCCGCCCCCCCCAAAAAAAAGAAAAGAAAAGAAAAATCCCTGCATATTCAACTTTACTACTCTTCATCTCAAATGAAACATTTTCTCAGATAAAATAATAAGCATAACTAAAAGTATTTAGGAATTAAATGAAATTAAGTTCATAACAAAAGGCAAAATGTAGACACTGCCTGGATTCTGATTTGAAAAATAACTATAAAAGGATATTTATAACAATCTATACAATTATACAATTGAGGAAATCTCAATATGAACCAGGTACTAGATGACCCCAAAGAATTACTATATTGTTTTGTGTGATATAGCATTATAGCTACATAAGAAAATGTCTATTTTTTAGAAATGCACAATGAATTACATACCAGTGAAATGAAATGAGGACTATGATTTTTTTTTTAAAAACAAAAAGAAGGAGGGAAGAAAAAAAGAGAAAGAGAGACAGGGGAATGGAGGGAGGAAAACAGAAGGGATAGATGAAGCTAGTATGGCAAAAATGAAGTTTGATATTGGGCAATATTGAGTCTGGGTGAGTGAAGATTCATTATACAATTCTAATTTATGTATGTGTGAAATTTTTCATTGTTAACATTCTTTTAAAGTAAAAAAAAAACTGATCTCAGTATCAGTTAACAGTAAAAACCCAATTTTACATTACTATCATACTCTTTGCTGTTCAAATAAAAGGTAAACCAGGGATGAACAGATTTCAACAGTTTATAACTTACTAACAGAGGTGCCTTCCTTTGAACAAACAGGAAAACCGTGGGCAAAGACTATTTTGTTTACCAGCATGCTATTTTGCTTAACTTCCAAAGTTCAGGCACATATAGCATATGCTCAATAAACATGTGAAAGTTAATTAATTTTAGATCAAATATACTAAGATATTAAGGATAATTACTTAGACACAGATGTTAACTAAAACACTACTCTAGAGCCCTGACTACACTAAATGCTATCTGATTAAACTGTATCACAATTACAGGGCCATGATCAGAATCAATAAAAAATAAATCATGTCTGCATTTATTTGTGTTTGTTTTCCTATAGTCATTTTGTGTACAACTGACTTTTCTGGAATATTTCACTATTAGACTGAAGTCTATAAAGAAGGAATCTCTGACATTAAGAAGATTTAGTGATATTTTCCTCTTTGAACAAATTTAATCGCCTCTTGATTGACAAGTACATCCTTAATACAACTGTAATACCTACCTGACATCAAACATTAGGATATGGAAAGTCTAAAACCAAACAACCCAGAAGCTTTAAATTTTTAAGCAAACTCAGTAAAGCAGTCACTTAGTTAAGTCTGCTTAGGAAAAAAAAAGACAGAACTGGTTACTTTGATGCTAAAATTCTAAATTACTTTCATATATAGTGGAACTTTCCCTCCTACACTCCTTCAAAAGTCAAATTGACATTATGCAAATTAAACATCAATCTTTCTATTAGAATTATTTGGCCATTAAAGGTCTGATTAGCTTTCCATTTACCTCAGTTAAATAATGCATTATATAAGAATAAAAGTGAATAGCTTCCTAGAGTGTGAAAATATGTGTAGAATAAAAATCCATATCCTGTTTCAAATGGTAAAAGTCAAAGTTAATTTAAACAGTATCTTAAGTAAAATCCACAAACCTTCAGCAATCATGTCTTCCATCTCTGTGTCAGATGAATTATCTGCATGCTTTGTATTATTCTGTAGCTCTGGTTGAACACATACAGAATTTATCACCTGATTATCCAAAAGAGGCCTTTTTTTCACAGGCTGTTCTATTAGCAAAGATGAACGACTCACCTTCAAAAGAGACAGGGAATAAAATAATCTTTTAAAAGGCTTTTCAGAAATAACTTGGTTAAAAAACCTCTTGGAATGAATAATATCTGTACTAATTTACTTGTTCAACTGATGAGTTGAACTGATCCACTACGTGCTTTATTCCTTAAGAAGATTTTAGGCAATCTGGACATCAACAGTTGTATTTCAAGTCATCAGAGGTGCAGATGCTTCAAAGTCTCTGTCAAATGGAACCTAGTGTCCTAGTTTAGGCAAGTAGTTAAAAAATGTCTTTAAAAAGCAGTAATAGGGGCACCTGGGTGGCACAGTCAGTTAGGCATCTGACTCTTGGTTCTGGCTCAGGTCGTGATCTCAGGGTCATGAGATCAGATCAAGCCCTGCATTGGGCTCCACGCTCAGCACGGAGTCTGCCGATGACTCTCTCACCCTCTCCCTCGACCCCTTCCCCCCCACTCCCTATGCTAGCTCATGCTTTCTCGTTGAAATAAATAAGTCTTTTTAAAAATAAAAAAATAATAGGGCGCCTGGGTGGCTCAGTTGGTTAAGCAACTGCCCTCGGCTCAGGTCATGATCCCAGGCTCCTGGGATCGAGTCCCGCATCAGGCTCCCTGC